CTTCACAGTTTAAAATAATTTATTAATTATAACCATTATATTAATAAATCTAAATATAATTATTAAATTAATAAACTTACTTTCAATATTTATTAATTATGATCATTAGATTAAAAAATTATTTTCTATATTAATTATAATTATTAGATTAAAATTTTCAATTATAATCATTAATTTAATTTTATTAAATGATATATTGATTGATTATTAATTTTATTATATTAGAAATTAGATTATATAAAATAATTTTAAATATCAATAAGTTTAAATAATTATTATTATTTAATAATTGATTAATAATTTAACTTAATATATACCCAACTTGATATTTACTTGACTTGTAAGTTATAAACTTTTAATTGACAATTGATATTATAATATGATAACTAACACACTAATTCTTCCCCCATTTAAAGCACGTGATTAATTATAATAATTAGATTAATAAATTTATTTTTATACAATAATATATAAATATATTCAAAAGTTTAATTAATTAATAATTTATGGATGATAAATATAATAAAAAAATAATTCTTCATCCTTTAAGACAAATAATTAATTATAATCATTAGAATAATAAGTTTAATTGTGATCATTATATTAAAAAAATACTTTCTATATCTGTAAATTGTAATGAATAAATAATTTATATTTATATATATCACTAATAATAATAAATTTTAAATTTTAAATTATTTTATTTAAATTATTCTGGATAAAGGATTCATTTTTATTATTAATTTTATTAGATTAACATTAGATTATATAAAATGATTTTAAAATATTAATAAGTGTAAACTACTATTAATGATGTAGGGAGGGAAGAGACAAGATAAAATTTCCATTCACTAAAGTTTTAAAAATTAGGAAGAGAAGAGAGAAGAAAAAAGATTTTCATTTTAAATATTCACTAAAATTTTAGAAAGTATGATTATAATTATATTAAATTAAAATTTATACTTTATATGTTATATTATATATTAACATTTAATCAAAGTTTATGAGTAAATTTAAGCTTTTAATCAAAATTGTTCTTTATTTATTTTTAATTATTGTAATTCAGTCTAATAATTTTAATATGTTGATATTTTTATTCGTGATATGTACTTACGTATGTATAATTTATTAATATATGTTATGTATGTATATATAATTTATTAATATATGATATGTATGTATATATGTATGATATTGATGCATATATGTAAGTATGATATACATACATGTCTATATATATGCATGCATCATACATACATGTATATATTTTATATAAATACGTACATGTTCAATATGTATACATACATATATACAATCATATATCCATGCATCATACATACATACATACGTGTTCTACATAGTACTGGCATCATACACGCATCTCATACATACATTCTCATTTGTCATGCATCAATATATTTTTTATAATATTTACTAAATAAAAATATTGATTAAGATGTTAAACTTTTGTTCACCTACTATTAAAATGAATGCAATTTAATCCAATTTATTATTAATTTAAGTTTCATATTTTATAATTGTTTTGATTTGATCACTGCATGTTGTTTAATTTATTTAAATTTCATATTATAATTTTATGTTTGTTCAATTTAATCATTAAAATTATATTATTTATCCAAAATTGCCCATACTTATTTATATTTTTGTAATTTACTCCAAACCCTATAAATCACATCATAAACTTCATTTCAAGCCTTATAAATTATATCATAATATGTAAATCCTATAAACTTTTGTTCATTAATATTTTAAATGGATACAATTTAGTCAATTTTTATATTAATTTCAACTCTACATTTTACAATAGTTTCAATCTAATCTTTGCATGTTGTTTAGTTTATTTAAATTTTAGCTTGTAATTTCACATTTGTTCAATTTTGCCCATAAAATTATATTTTTATCCGACATTACCCCATAATTATTTCTATTTTGTTATTTACTCCAAACCCTATAAATCACATCATAAACTTCATTTCAAATTCTATAAACTTTTGTTCGCCAACTTTTTAAATGGATGCAATTTACTCTAATTTTAATAATAATTTAAGCTTCACGTTTTACAATTGTTTCAATTTGATCCTTGTATGCTCATTAATTTATTTAAATTTTAGTTTTTAATTTCATGTTTGTTCAATTTAGTCCTTAAAATTATATTTTTATTAAAATTAACCTATAATTATTTCTAATTTTTTTGTTATTTAATGCAAAACATGTACAATTACAATTTACAATTCAACATTCATTAAAGGCATAAAAATAATTCAATAAAAAATGACCCAACCTGAAATCCATATGTACTCGATAAGATCTGACTTGAATTTTATTTGTTAAAAACATAACCCGATCTGAACGAGATCCAACCTAGAATCCATCCAAACCTAAATTAACTTGATATTTAACTTATTTAGATCTAAACCATTTTGAACTGAAATGATATTGATCTAAACTGAAATTAACCCGGCCACACCTGAACTAAATATTTTTTTCTCAACAATCAAATTATTTATTAAAATTTTGTCGTCCCGATTATGGCCTCGTTAAAAATCTCCCTACGCCTAAATGGACGAAAAGTGTACCGATAACCGGGGAAAAAAACGATCAAAAAATCTGAAACCATAATAAATCCACTAAACTGCACTGCTTACAATCAAGAAATTCTTAGCAAAAACAATCTACACAGAAAACAAAACTTTACTCTTCTCCTCACATCAGAAAGTCTCCCATCATGAAAAACACCCCCTTTGCTGTGAATAAACACTCCATTAACCATAAAAGAATGCAGCAAACCAGCGGAACAAAAAACCTACCACCATGCTTTAAATAATTCAGTTCTTGACATGCCTTGTTTCGCTAGAAAACCTACCATCCCATTACGAGCTCTTTGAACATAAAGAAACTTCACTCGACCAATTGTTCTCACCAGTCTGTCCACCTCGTCGAAGTACTCCCACCATTCCCACGGTCTCGTTAAAGGAAAAGTGATCCAATTAAGAACTACCTGACAATCCGATTCCACCTCGAGAGCCTTCATTCCTTGCCAACCCGCCTCAATGTAAACAGATAAAGCTCTTTTTATTGCAAATAATTCTGCAAATTCTGGACCCAAATCTGTCACTGGTCCGAAGAATAGAACTCTAATATCTCCGGAAGCTGATCTGAGCACCCCCACAGCCAGTAAAACCTTCTATCGCTGCCCCATCAACATTAAATTTTACCATTCCCTCTGCTGGAGGAAGCCATTCTGAGACTGCTTTTGCGTTACTATTATTCACAAAACAATTCAAAGGGCTCGTCCACCAATATCCATCATCCAAAATATCAGTCTTTTGTTCCTTTCAGCCAAATATAGGCTCTCATTTTCGAATAGAATAACAAGTATTTAACACTGCAATCTTTGTCATTAAAAATCTTTTTGTTTCGAGCCAACCAAATACTCCAAACGCTACAGCAATTGAGATGAACTACACTGTTCTCACATTTATCGGCCAAGATACATAAAAGCACGAGGAAATGAAATCGTCTAAGCTTTCTAATCTTAACCTCCCTGACACCGACAAATTAAAAAATTCCTTCCAGAAGAAACGCACAAATCGACAATCCACAAAGAGGAGACCTACATTTTCTATCCCCGACTCGCACCATGGACATTCTAGCCCATCCACCTGAACACCTCTCGAACTCAAGAACTCTTTGTTGGGATCCTTTCGATTTTCAACATCCAAAGGAACGATTTCACCTTTGGAGGTACTTTTGCCTTCCAAATTTTATTAAAATCGAAAGGATCTTGGGCATTTTCTACTCCTAATAAAAGCTCGGACAGCCTGTTCACCGAAAATCTGCCTGAAACATCATGAATCTAAATTAATCTATCAGCACTATCTTTGCACATTGATTCCTTAGAAAGGCTCAATTTTAACTCCTCCAAAATTACTAACTCCTTTGCTAATAAGAGCAGTGAAAACAAAGAAGGCCAATTTAACTCCTAAATATTCGACAGCCCCACTATCAAAGCCACCACTTCACCCTTCTTCAGCCAAAGCCTGTATAACTGAGGGTATAACCGACTGAGAGGACAATCTCTACACCAACTATCTTCCCAAAAGAGAATCGAACGACCATCACCTAACTTCCATCTAAACTCACTTCGATTCATCCAAACGTTTACCTCCTCACCATTTATGTTCCTAATGATTCCTTTCCAAATTGAAGAAACATCACCAATACGGACATTCTGAGCAATCCAATTCAAATCTTCTTCACCATATTTTGCACTTATACCCATCTCCATAATGCTTCCTTCTCCATCGAAAATCTCCAAGCCCATTTTGCTAATAAAGCTTTATTTTTATATTTTAAATTATCACCCCTGCCCCTCCAAGATTTTTGGGTTTGCATATTTTTCCCCAATTAACCCGAACTAACATCTTCAAGCCATCCGAGGAGCCCCAAATGAAGTTCCTTCTTATTTATCTAGCTTCAACAACACTGATTCAGGTACTTCAAATGAAGAAAAATAGTAAAGGGAAGCGCCGATAAAACTGAGTTTACTAGGATGATTCTGCCTGCAAAGGATAAAGACTTTATTTTCTAGTCTGCTAACTTTAAATAAAATCGCTCGACCACCGGCTCCCAAGTGCTCACATTTCTCGGATCAACCCCCAGAGGAATGCCCAAATAATTAATCGACAGAGACGCTATTTGGCACCTGTTGGAATTCCTAGAATTAAGGAACAATATCTTTTTTTTTCTTAATTCTAGGAGTTTGCCTTATGTAAATAGTCAACTAATCTAATTACATGATCTTAGGAATTATTTCCTAACTTAGAGTAGTTATTCCTTATAAATTGTAATTTATGTTTAGAGCAAAAAAGTATGAATTTCATTTCTTCTCACATTTGTTCATGGCATCAGAGCTGTATGACTCATTCGATCCTATTATGCTCTTCCTCTAGAAATTGTTCTTGCGTTGTTTTCTTCCTATGGCAGAACAACCAGAAAATCTTTTCGAATCTAAAACCTCAGCCCTTGTATCATCCAACACTTCATCCTCTACAGAAAATACATTCGATGTCTGCCTAACCAAATCTCAACTCGAAGCCCTACACAAGATACTTGAAACACCTACTGCTCATGGATCCTTGGCTATTCAAGGTACTACTTTTAATATTACTTCGGATTCAACTAATCAATCCGCTTGGATCCTGGATTCAGGTGCCTCCGACCACATGACAGGTAACTCATCCCTGTTCCATAGCTACATCCCTGTCACAATCAATCTCGTATCCGAATAGCTAATGGTTCATACTCGCCTGTTGATGGGACTGGGGCAATTCAACTCACTGAAAAACTCTCTCTTGACAAATTCTTACATGTCCCAAGTTTATCCTGCAATTTACTGTCAGTTAGTAAACTAATTGAGGATAATGATGCTCTTGTTGAATTTTCTGCTCGTGGTTGTGTTATACAGGAACAGAAATCGGGGAAGATGATTGACACTGCTAAGGTCGATGATGGACTCTACATATGGAATAAAGACAATAAGAAAGGAAGTTTGGCGTTATCTGCTTCTCATGCGGACACAATTATGCTGTGGCACCAAAGGTTAAGACACCCAAACTTCTTGTACATGAAGTATGTATTTCCACTGTTATTTCAAAATAAAAATTCAAATTCCCTAAAGTGTGAAATCTGGCAACTCTCAAACATACTCGTGTTCCTTATACATTAAAACCTTACATCCAATCCAAACCTTTCTCCTTAATACACAGTGATCTATGGGGGGCTAGTCGAGTGAAAATATTACGGGGGCTAGATGGTTTATAACATTTATTGATGATCATACTAGAGTTTGTTGGATTTATCTCCTCAAAGAAAAGTCCGAAAACACCTAAAGTATTCCAAAATTTTCATTCAATGATTAGAACCCAATTCAATTCCACCATACAAACGCTCCGCACCGATAATGGAAGAGAGTACTTCAACTCAATTTTAAGTCCTTACCTTGCAGAACAAGGCATCATACACGAAAGCTCCTGTCCAGACATACCACAACAAAATGGAATTTCGGAAAGGAAAAATCGGCACCTATTAAATGTTGCTCGAACTCTAATGTTTACCACAAATACCCCAAAATACCTATGGGGAGTTGTTCTAACCGCATGCTACCTAATTAACCGAATGCCATCCAAAGTCCTTAAATTTCAAACACCTCTAAATACCCTTCAAAAAGCTTTCCCTCTTTCGTCACCATTTTTCGGCGGGGACAATCGTTTATTGTTTTAAAAACAGTTTCGACTTTAATTTTGGAAAATCCGGTGTTTTGGAATTAAATTGGGTAAAGCTGAAAAGAGTCGTCATCAACCTTTGGGTTAGGTAGGTCGAATACCTAAAAATGTCTTTTAAAAAAATCATTTTTTAAGAAAAAAGCTGGTCTGCGTTTACCAAAATTCAATTAAAACGGGTTCGGGAGTCGATTACGCGTGGGGAAGGATTAGCACCCCCACAGAGCCCTAAATCGGTACCTAATCTATTAATTAATGTCTTTGCAATGAAATTTACAAATTCGAATTTAATTTGATTTATGATCCCCAACAAAACAACAACATACAAATTTTGTCATATTTAAAAGCACCCAAATAGATTAAATTAGAATTACCAAGTCTTTTAGAAAGATAAAGAATATTCGATCATTTAAAAATATCGAGACCATATCTTAAATAGTTATAACAACATTTTCTTGATAAATTTAAATAGCCGAACATTTCTTTTTCTTCCATTCCCAAGTTTTAAAGTGATGAATCAATTTCTTAAGTATCACTGATGGGATACACATTTATTTTAAAATCGTTAAAAGCGGACCTCGAATAAGTTAAGACGACTCACTTAAAACGATTTTAAATTAAAAATGTATTACCCTTAATCCAATTATGTAATAATGTCGAGTTATGCACATGAGTATATCATACATATGAATATGTCGTCATATGAAAATCCTATATGCAAATAAATGTACATCAAAAGAATCGTGTGAAAACGTGTATTAGGCTATTTAATGGAAAGCTACAAAATACATACATACTACAATTATTTAAAAACAAAGGCTTTATTTGATAAAAAACAAACTGCCTTGAATAAATATAAGCATGCAATTACAATTAATATAAATAATAATATATATATATATATATATATATATATATATATACATATATTAAGTCACTTAACCAAGGACTACGTGATACATTAAAAACATATACACTATTTATATATAATGCTTTTAACACATATACACAAATATAAAATATTATATATATATACCATACCAAATTACGTGCATCATGCGACATATATAAGTATATATTTACAAATTACACAACACATACACAGTAAAAAAAATCTAATATGATGACTTGAATGAACAAATGACAAATATGGCAGGCCAAAGTATGAAAACTTAAATATAAACGCAAGAACAAAAATGCAATAGCCTTAAAATTGCAGATTCTAATGAACAAAACTAAGATTAAATTATACGTACATAAAGGCTAAATAAAATTAGTGCATAAAGTGTAAGGTGCAAATAAATAAATGCAGAAAATTTAGGGGATTAACTAAGCGAACAGCATATTAAATTAACAATAAAGATAAGGACTAAATAAAATAAACCAAAACCCCAAGGATGAAATCTACGAACAATAGAAGCTATAAATAAAACATGCATTCGGGACTTTATCGAAGTAAACTAAAAATTTACAAGCTAAATCAATAAACATTAAAAGGTAACAAATCAAAAGAGGGACTAAAATGGAAATACCAGAAAATTATGAAGGATCACGGAGAGCATTTGCTCCTTTAGCCTTTGAAATGGATTCCACCGAGATTGGTCTCCAGACTCCAAGTTACTTTAGGAATATAAAATACATATATATATTTTTAACATATTTCATTCCCCAATTTCAAATTGAGATTAACACAAAACAAAGTTCTTCACAGGTTCATCCCAAACCCAGAAAACGATAGTCTCCATCGTTCCTCAACCACGTCTCCATCGTGGGTTGACTCCGACAACCACTCGCCGGCGTCGGAGAAAGTGGAGACCAATATCAACCGAAAATCTCCATTCCGAGCATAGATCCGGACCCCGATGGGTCTAAAACACCTCCAAACGCTGCAGATAGTGATGCTTGGAACTCCAATGACTCAAATAAGCTAGGTAAAATTCTAATTCCTATTTTATTTCCTAGTTATATTTCATTTCCATATACACACAAAACACTGAAAAATAAAGATGAGAAATACCCAAAAGAATGGCATATTTTGTATTGCTTCTTGAATTACAAAAAAATGAAAATAGGAATCAACTCCCCTGTTTAACTGTCTTTCTTCTTTTCCCCGTGTAAAAACCGAGCCCCCTTGTTCGAACGGATTTTCCTCCCCCCGTTCGAATGTTCCCTTGTTTATTTATGCTTGTTGAGCAGTGATTGTTCCACTAGTGTTTATTTAATGAAAATTAGGTTATATTGGAGTAGGTTTAGTGGAGTGAAAATGGGATGGTACTTGGTGGAGCATGGGCACGTGAATTGTAGAGTGGGTGGAGTATGGTGGAGTGGGTGGATGGATGGTAATATTTTTTATTTGTTGTTCTTGTTCATTGATGGGTGATGACTCAGTTATTGTCTGCAGATGAGTGGGAGTATGGGTAATGGTAGGATATAATAAAAATAGTGCTTACAGCTGCCCCTCTTTGCTTATTACAGTTAAACGGAATGAAGCAAAGATAATAAAAGCACCATTTTTCTTCTTGATCTCTTCTTATCATGCTGTGAACTCCTCACTGGGAATATCAATTCTTCTCTTCCTGCGAAATTCGTCGGGTCCTTGTCGCAAATGATGTCGTCCTTTGCTTCATTCTCTTGGCCAAGTCTTCATCTTTAGTTCCTCAGGTTATGAGTTCTTCTCATTATGATCTTTCTCCTTTAGGACAAGTCCTTCTCATTATGAACTTTTCTAGAAATGTCAATCCCTCAAGCGAGGCGTCACTGATTCGAAATGTCGTGAATCTCGTCCCTTTTCCTTTACTTTTTTCTTTTTTTCTTTTCTTTTTTTTCTTTATTATCCTTGCTTTACTTTTTTTGTTCTCTTTTTCTTTTCTTTTTGCTCTATTTCTTTTTCTCTTTTTTTTCTCTTTTTGTTCTGATTGGATCTTCGCACTTGACATTTGGTTCACCTTTTGGTATATCCTCTAGATTGATGTCTTCACTCATGTGAACAAATTTCTTCCACCTTTCCCCCAGTGTGGAGGGTGATCCTTGGTTAGGGTTGAATCAGAAGAAAAACACTATAGGCTCAAAAGGGACAACAAAGGATATATATATATATGGATAAATGAAACAAATCGTTCATCATCTCATACATAGAAGCCCTTGAAAAGAGGTATCCCCAGGGGATAGATTTTTCAGGATTAATTCTATTCACATAAAAAATGTAATTAATGCATGATAGAATTATTTCGAATTAATTCTCCTTTCTGCTTCTTGCTCCCAACATGTCTCAATTGTTTAGATTCATCTTCAGGAAGTTGATGCGAGATACCCCACGTTGTATCTTATGATAGGAAGGTTCATGCTCAAGTGAACAACTCAATGCCTTAGGTTTTATTGATAGAAAAATGTTGTTTTTCTTCTAAAAAACGATGGTGTGACTTTATTAACTCAAAGGTATCGATATGACTCTTTGTATCTCCATGAATTATTCTGGGTAAAAATTGAGGGATTTTTTTTGGGACAGGATAAGAAAGGTCTGATCTTGCCATATTTCAAAAATCTATAATTCTTGAATAATTAAAAGAATCCTTAATTCATTCGATATTCGAATAACTAAAGATTAAAATTTGCTCAATTATTCAACCTTAGAAGGTAGAATAAGTTCAGTCACTTAAAAGATTAAGCAAGTATAAAAGATAGAACAAAAATGATTTCAAACAAAACAATGCTCTCAATGCAATGGTAGATGCAATGCCCCCATCATTTTCCAATTATCCATGCCCCTGAATCAATCAAGTTCTAGATCTTGTGCTTCAGTGCCTCACAATTCTCGGAGGAATGTCATGAGATTCTTATGTGATAACTATACACGATATCAACATCGTAACCCTCGGGATATGGAGAATATTTTCTCAGATCATTCTAGAAGGCTCAGTCCTACAATCAGCTGAACAAGCTCCAACTGTACTTATTTCAGCTTCTTGATTTTATTAGTGTCACGTGGTAGGACCACTTTATAGAATCCTCTATGAATTAGCTTTATTTTTTTATGAATTATGCATGTAAAATGCTTAAATGAATGTTATGCAGAATGTAAATGCATGCCAAATGCAAATGCAAAAGGTGTCATTCCAGAGTGACCATCTTAAAACAACTTTCATTGAACACAAAGGTCTCAATACATCAAACAAACTTTACATATAATGGACAGCTTTTGCTCCGAACTTTTCTATCTCTTTCAAAAGCCAATTTAACTTCCACTCATGCTCGAGAGTTGAGTTGTCAATCTGATTCAAATCTCTTGCAAAGCCAGCTAAATCAACCCATTTGTCAGCCACA